GTGTGGGTGTGCGTGTGCGTGTGCGCGTGCCCGTGCGCGTGCGTGTTCGCGTGCGCGTGCACGTGCGCGTGCGTGTGTGTGTGTGGTTTTTTTGAGCGCTTGTTTGTTGTGTGCGTGTGCTGTGTGCTTTGTGCGTGTGTGCATGTGTGCATGTGTGCGTGTGCGTGTGTGCGTGTGCGTGCGTGTGTGCGTGCGTGCGCGCGTGCGCGCGTGCGCGCGTGCGCGCGTGCGTACATGTGTGTGCCGTGTATGTGTGTGTGCCGTGTGTGTGCCGCGTGTGTGTGTGTGCCGTGTGTGTGTGTGTTGTGTGTGTGCCGTGTGTGTGTGTGCCGTGTGTGTGTGTGCCGCGTGTGTGTGTGTGTGCCGTGTGTGTGTGTGTGTGCCGAGTGTGTGCCGCGTGTGTACGGGGTGTGTGCGGTGTGTGTGTGTGTGGGTGTGTGTGCGTGACGTGTGCGTGTGCGCGGGCGCGTGCGTGTGTTGGTGCGTGTGCGTGTGTGTGTGTGTGCGTGTGCGTGTGCGTGTGCGCGTGCGCGTGCGCGTGCGCGTGCGCGTGCGCGGGCGCTTGCGCGTGCGCGTGTGCTTGCGCGTGCGCTTGCTGTGTGTGTGCGGTGTGTGTGTGTGTGCGGTGTGTGTGTGTGCGGTGTGTGTATGCTGCGGTGTGTATGTGTGCGGTGTGTGTGTGTGTGTGTGTGCGCGGTGTGGTGCGCGTGTGTGTTTGCGCGTGTGCGTGTGCGTGTGGTGTGCGTGTGCGTGTGCGTGTGCGTGTGCGTGTGCGTGTGCGTGTGCGTGTGCGTGTGCGTGTGCGTGTGCGTGCGCGTGCGCGTGCGCGTGCGCGTGCGCGTGCGCGTGCGCGTGCGCGTGCGCGTGCGCGTGCGCGTGCGCGTGCATGTGCGCGTGCGCGTGCGCGTGCGTGTGCGTGTGCGGTGTGTGTGTGTGTGCGCGTGTGTTTGTGTGTGAATGTGTGTGTGCGTGCGTGCGTGCGTGCATGCGTGCGTGTGTGCGTGCGAGCGTGCGTGCGTGCGTGTGTGTGTGTGTGCATGCGTGTTGGTTGCTACGCGTGCGTGCGCGAGTTGTTGCGTGCATGCGTCGTGGTTCCGTAGGTGTTGGTGTGGTGTGGGTTTGGGTGTGGGTGTGGGCGTGGGTGTGGGTGTGGGCGTGGGTGTGAGTTTGGACGTGGGTGTGGGTGTGTGTGTGTGGGCTTGGGTGTGTGCGTGGGTGTGGGTGTGGGTGTGAGTTGGACGTGATTGTGGGTGTGAGTGTGGGATCGGGTGTGGATATGGGCGTGTGTGTAGGTGTGGGCGTGGGTGTGGCCGTGGGTGTGAGCGTAGGCGTTGGCGTGGGCGTAGGCGCTGGCGCGGGCGTGGGTGTGGGTGTAGGTGTGGGCGTGGGGCGTGGGCGTGGGCGTGGGCGTGGGCGTGGGCGTGGGCGTGGGTGTGGGTGTGGGCGTGGTCATGCGCGTGGCCGTGGCCGTGGACGCGGCCGCGGGCTCGGGCGTGGGCGTGTGCGCGGGCGTGGGCGTGGGCGTGGGCGCGGGTGTGGGCGTCGGCGTGAGATGGGTGTGGGAGTGGGCGTGGGCGTGGTTGTGGGCGTGGGCGTGGGCGTGGGTGGGCTTGGGTGCCGGCGCGGGTGTGGGCGTGGGCGTGCATGTGAGCGTGGGCGCGGGCGTGGGCGTGGGCTTGGGCGTGGGCGCGGGCGCCGCCTCCGCCGCCGCGGGCGCCGGCGGCGGCGCCCGGGGAGGGGGGGGGAGGAGGGGAGGGGGGCCCCCCCCATGGTTCAAACGCGCCGCCGGATGTTCCCAAGGCAAGCGCCGGTGAAACGCGCTCCCTCCGGGCTTGCTACAATGATGTTTTTTGTAGACTGGCTCTTTGGTGTGATGCGCAGGCGTGGTAAGACGACAGGGCCGTCAGCTTTAGATCCGAGCATTTTATTTGTCATCGGCCTACCAGCATGTCGACGCAGTGAATCCCTCGTTCCCCTTGCAACCCTGCTCACAGGCAGGTGTCGCCTTTTCGAAACCGCTTGCGCCACCGCACGAGCCCGTCAAGAGAACGGGCATAGGTGGTCAGCACAGTGTCCTAACATCAAAGTTTTGGGGACGGCCACTTCGAACCAGTCGCTATGAGAACCGAAGACGCCACCTGCGAACCACCGCCGCCCCCCTGCCTTCTGCAAGTGCCTGCGTGGAGCCATCCTGGCCGGAAAGCCCGATGGGATTCATTTTTTCCCAACCATCCTGTGGTGTTGGGTCTTCGTTTTGAAGAGACGGTCCCCGCGTTCCTCTTCTCCTCTCTCCTCCTCCTCCCCCTCCTTCCCCTCCTCTCCTCCCTCCTCCTTCTTCCATGCGTTTCACCCACCCAGCACAGCGTTGCGTGGCCCCATAGGGGGCTCCACCGAAGGTCCCAGTGGCACCGCCCGCTTGCGTCCGCCACCACCCAACACGGCCCTTGTCCCCTGCGTTTCGCCCACCCAGTACAGCGATTCGTGGCCCCATAGGGAGCGCCACCGAAGAAGCTATTCACAACTGCGGTACTCACAACTGCATATGGTTGGGTCTTTCGCCAGGCTGATTTTCTGCAGATGCCCCACCCGCCAACCCTCTCGTGCCTGCGCGCTCTGTTGCCGTGGTGTCTCGTGCCCTCCGTTTCCGCCTGCAGGGCGAAGACCCCCCCCCAGGCTTCTCGACCGGACTCGACTTGGTCGCGGGGTCTGCGGGCTTGGCGGAAGACATGCCCAGGAGGCAAGGGCTCCCCCGAGGGCGCGAAGTTATTCGCGCTTCTCGTTTCCCTCCCCCTCCTCCTCGTCCTCCTTTTCTCCCTTTGGGGGGGCGGCGCGAGAGCGCGAAGTTATTCGCGCTTCGCGCTTCGCGGAGCGCGAAGCGCGAAGTTGGGAGCCCTAGAGGAGGGCGGCAGATTGGGGCCGCGCCTCCTCGAAGCACGGCGCCCCAGCCACTCGCAGCACCAATCGGAGCGCGGCCCGCCGTGCGCTCTGTCGTCTGGCGGATGCTTGAACCACCTGGCGACTCAGAAAAACAGGATGAGCACCAGGAGGAGGAGGAGGAGGAGGAGGAGGAGGACCAGTGCAAACCTAAGAGACGCCAGCGATGTTGGAATAAACCCTCCCCCCAAGCTTCCTCTTCATGGGCCCCTACGACGGTTCATTTCCACAGAGGGACCTGCCTCTTTGGAAGACAACCGTTTGAAGACCCTGACGCATGCCAAAACATTGTTCTCGGGATTCCAACGCCACGGATCAACCTGACTGTTGCCTCTTGACGACCCTGAATCGTGCCAGAACGCCAGTCTTGGGACTTCAACACCGCGAAGCATCGCAACTGTTACACCCTCATGATCGCGAATCCTCTCAGAACACCATTCCTGGTACATCGATCATGGGAATCCGTGAGATTGTTGCAACTGTTGAAACCGAATGAACGCGGCGCTACGGCGAGAGCCACATTTTGAAAAGGAACCGCCCTCAATATGTGAAACGAATGCGTGCGGCGCTAAGGCGAGAGCCACATTTTGAAAACCATCCGCTTTCAATCCGCGAAACCTTGCAAAAATTTAAAGCGAATGTGCGCTGCGCTAGGGCGAGAGCCACATTTTGGAAACCATCCGCCCTCCATCTGTGAAATTGTTGTCAACGTTAATGCTTCAGGGTCAAAAGTGGTGAGGAGCTCTCAGACAAAACGCCCGGCCCGCCCTAAAAACTGGCCTCGGGGTGCGGCAGGAAGAAGTTAATTTCAAGAACAAGGAATGGAGAAGGAGGGGGAGGAGGAGGAGGAGGAGGAGGAGGAGGAGGAGGAGGAGGAGGAGTTCGCGTCGTCTCCTTCTCTCGTCCCGCTCGCCGGCCACACCAGCGGCCGACCGAGCCGCTTTCCCTAAGGTCCCCCTTCGCACACCGGGCGGTTGGGCGGAGGGGGGGGGCGACGACCGCAGTTCTCAGGAGAATCCAAAGCCGCCAGCACCAGCACAAGGAGGAGGGGGACGTGGAGGATTTGCTGGCGGTGGACGAGTGGGGCGCGGGTCGATTGCGCTTCAGCGCGCCACTCTGCGCTTGCCTGCCCAACTCCCTGTGAAAGTCGTTATTCCAGCTTGGGTCCATGAAGCGACCCGTGCTTCTATCGCCCAGCGCGTTGGTAGAAGATGCATTGAGGGTGCAACTCACGTACGCCTTCTGCTTGACGAGGGGGGCGCGCTCGTGGACGAGGAGGTGGTGGAGGAAGAGGAGGACGTGGAGGATGGGGAGGAGGTGGACGAGGAGGTGGTGGACGAGGACGTGGAGGAGTTGCCGGCCTCCGCGCTGCTGAGCCGCGCGAAGCCATGCACGCACGCATGCGTGACAGTGTCGCGGCAGGGCCAGGCACTCTCGTTTTCGTTCGCGCCTCTCGCGACGTCCTAAACTCGTTCAGGCTGCCACGCGGAAAGAAGTCTCTCGAGGGCGGCGCCATGGAAGGGGGTTTCCGGATCGCCACCACACACCTTCGCAAGCCACAGCATCCCCAGAGGGTCTTCGCCAGCGGCAGTCCGCGCTTTCTCTCCAGGATCTCGCGGGGTCTGCCTGCCTCCCCAGCCCACGAGTTCGCGAGTGATCGGGCAGGCGAGCATGTGAGCTGGGCCGGGGCAAACGAAGGAGAAGGAGGCTGAAGAGGAGGGGGAGGGGGGGGGAGGAGGAGGAGGAGGAGGAGGAGGAGGAGGAGGAGGAGGAGGAGGAGGAAGAGGAGGAGGAGGAGGAGGAGGAGGAGCAGGAGAAGGAGGAGGAGGAGGACGAGGAGGAGGAGGAGGAGAAGGAAGAGGAGGGGGAGGAGGACGACGACGACGAGGAGGAGGGGGATGCGGAGGAGTAGGTAATGGAGGAGACCGTGTCTGGCGCGGCGCCACCGCTATATGGGTCTCTCGGGCATTCCAGGGCAGCAACCGCACATGGAATGCAATGCGAATTAGAGCGACTGAGGAAGGACGGAGCGTGCACTTGATTGGTGAACAAGACTTCTCGTGGAGGTGAGATTCAATCGACCAGCAAGTTCGTCAGCTACGCCGCATCAACGGTACGCCTACTGCGCCGCAGCATTCCTTGCGCTCAGTCCCACAATCACCGGTTCTTCCCCTTCGCCACCTCATGTTACGCACAAGGCAGTTGCACAGGGGGTTCGGGATGTTGCATGGCATATGAAACTCCAGGAGGCAGGCGGGACGTCGCAGGAGATGACATTGTCGATGGTATCCTTAGTTGGATAGGTATGGAGGGTGAGAGTGACCATGATTTCATCGCGTTCGACGCCCCCGTGTGTGCGTGTGTGTGTGTGTGCGTGTGTGTGTGTGTGTGTGTCAGTATGTGTCTGTATGTGTCTGTGCGTGTGTGTCTGAGTCTGTCTGTGTGTGTGTCTGTGTGTGTCTATGTGTGCTTGTTCGTGGTGTTTTTTAGCGCGTGTGTCTGTCTGTGTCTGTCTGTGTGTGTGTGTCTGTGTATGTCTGATTGTGTTTCTGCGTGTGTCTGTGTGTGTCTGCGTGTGTGTCTGTGTGTCTGCCTGTGTGTCTGCCTGTGTGTCTGCCTGTGTGCGACTGTGTGTGTTGTGTGAGTGTGTGTGCGTGTCTGTGCGTTTTTTGTGTGTTGTGTGTTGGGTGATGTGTGTGAGTGTGTTGTGTGTTGTGTGTTGTGTGTTGTGTGTTGTGTATTGTTTGTGTGTATGTTGTGTGTTGTGTGTTGTGTGTTGTGTTGTGTGGTGTGTGTTGTGTGCTGTGTATGTTGTGTGTGCTGTGAATGTTGTGTGTGTGCTGTGTATTTTATGTTGTGTGTTGTGCGTTGTGTGTTATGTGTGTGATACGTTTGTGGTGTGTGTGTGTGCTGTGTTGTGTGTGTTGTGTTGTGTGTGTTGTGTGTGCTGCGTGTGCTGTGTGTTATGTGTGGGGTGTGTTTGTTGTCTGTGTATTGTGTGCTGTGTGTATTGTGTGTTATGTGTTGTGTGGTGTGTGTATGCGCATGTGTGTTTGTTTGTGTTTGTGTGTGGTTATGTTTGTGTGTGATTGTGTGTGTGTGTCTGCGTCTGCGTTTGTGTTTTGTGAGTGGTTGTGTGTGTTTGTGTGTGTGCGTGTGTGTGCGTGTGTATGTGCGTGTGTGCGATGTTGTGCGTGTGGCTCCGTGTGTGTGTGCGCGTGTGTGTGCGTGTGTGGGCGTGCGCGCGCGCGTGTGCGTGCGTGTGTGTGTGTGTGTGTGCGTGTGTGTGTGTGTGTGCGCGTATGTGTGTGTATGTGTGCGAGTGTGTGCGTGTGTGTGCGTGTGTGTGTGTGCGTGTGTGTGCACGTGCGCGTGTGTGCGTCTGTGTGTGCGCGTGTGTGTGTATGTGCATTTGCGTGCGTGTGCGTGCGTGTGTGTGCGTGTCTATGCGTGTGTGTGTGCGTGTGTGTGTGCGTGTGTGGTCGTGTGTGTGTGTGTGTGCCTGCGTGTGTGTGTGTGTGTGCGTGTGTGTGCGTGTGTGTGCGTGTGTATGCCTGTGTGTGTGTCTGTGTCTGTGTGTGCCTGCGTGTGTCTGCGTGTGTCTGCGTGTGTCTGCATGTGCCTGTGTGTCTGTGTGCCCGTGTGCCTGTATGCCTGTGTGCCTGTGTGCCTGTGTGTCTGTGTGTATGTGTGTCTGTGTACCCGTGTGCCTGTGTGCCTGTGTGCTGTGTTTCTGTGTGCTTGTGTGCCTGTCTGTGGGCTTGCCTGTGTGTTTGCCTGTGTGTCTGCCTGTGTCTGCCTGTGTGTGTGCCTGTGTGTGTGTCTGTGTGTCTGTTCGCTATTCGAGTGATTCCGCAGCAGGTCTCCTGCAAGGCGTGAGGCATTGAAAAGCCTGTGAACGCGAACTGTGACAAATCAGATATTGTTGGCTTTACGGGCGGAGGCGAAGTCAGAGTGATGGCGGGGTCGAAGGGAGGGCGTTGCCCTCCGTTTTTCCGACCTGGCCCCATCTGGGTCTCCAGGGACCCAGAGGCCTGGACGTCCTGGAGGGCGGCAAGCTGGGGCGCCCGAGCCCGCGAAGGCATAGGCAGGCCCTGATCCCACTAATGCACCAAGAAGCGCTTCTTGAAGAGCGCTCCTGCGACCCAGTGGCCACACAGAACGCAGCCCTTGCTAAGAGTTCAGGCGCGGAAGAAGGACGTACACGATACACATAGTTTCGAGAGTACGCATTGCGCGAATGTTCGTATCACGCGGCTGGTCTCGCGGATCGAGGGGCCGTGTTCATGTACATGGTTGGGCGCGTACGTCCGTTGTAGGTTCCCTAAGTGTGTGTGTGCGTGTGTGTGTGTGTGAGTGTGTGTGTGTGTGCGTGTGTGCGTGTGTGCGTGTGTGCGTGTGTGCGTGTGTGCGTGTGTGCGTGTGTGTGTGTCTGTGTCTGTGTCTGTGTCTGTGTCTGTGTCTGTGTCTGTGTGTGGTGTGTGTGTGGTGTGTGTGTGGTGTGTGTGAGTGTGTGTGTGTGTGTGTTCGTGTGTTCGTGTGTGTGTGTGGTGTGTGTGAGTGTGTGTGTGTGAGTGTGTGTGAGTTTGTGTGAGTGTGTGTGAGTGTGTGTGTGAGTGTGTGTGTGTGTCGATCGCACGGTCCAGCCAGGATGTCATGTGTGGTTTTGGCCGGCTGAGCCCGAAAGACGAGCAGCTGCATTGCGATGTGCGCGGTCATCATATTGTTGCTCTTCTGCGACGGCGAGGGCAATGTTGGAGAATGAGTCTCTGCTTCGTGGTTGAAGGCTCGGCTCCGCTCCAGACTCAGTCCTCCCTTCGCATCTCCCCAGATTTCACTCAGCTGCCCTGGCGTCAGACGGCCTATCGCTTCTAGGACCCGTGTGTGGAGTGGGTGTTGTTATCGTGCTGATGCGGGACCGGCGGAAGGCACTCTCACGACCTCCTCTGCCCTGGAGCACGGAGCCGCGTGGTCGGCGCTCGGCCCTCGCGCGCGAGTCCGAGGGGGGGATCGCAGGCATGTTGAGCGCTCGCCCCGCGCTGCACTTGCCCAGGCTTCACTGCAAAGGCAGGCAAGCGTCACGCAGGGCCCCAGCTCAGCCGGGGCTGCATGCCTCCCACCATGTCTCCCTCCCTCCCTCCCCATCCCTTCTCTTCGCTCCTCCCTCCTTCTGCCTCTCTTTCCCTCCACATGTTCAATTGCCCCGCTCCTTGTCTTCATACACACGTTTCATTCAGCTCGCCAGGGAAATCGGACTTTAGAAAAAACTTAAGGCCTATGGCGTCGTCCTGGCGCGCTCTCGTCGCAGGCTGCTTTGAAGCGCCTTCAACAGGCTGGACCCAGGCAGGCGAATGTTAGGGAGCGGTTGAACGTGACGCTTCAGGATGGGGAAGGCTGGTCTAGGAGAAAAAAGGGCCGACAGGGCAAAAGCCAAGCGTCGCAAGTTACAAGAGAAAGAGAAGAGGTAGAAAGAGAGAGAGAGAGAGAGAGTAGTCTCAGCAGAAGAAAGATCGAAGATGGAGTTGGAGTGGGCTGAAAAGTGAAGCTGCAGAGTATGATGGCACACTGGGCCAGAGAGCTTGAGCAAGCAAGAAGTTACGAATATTCAGGGAGTCCTGATTCAACATCGGGCAGCTGTCACGATTTCAGGGCAGAGCACAGAGACGAAAGCCATTGTCACAGAAAGCGGAAATGATCACGTTGATGCGCATTGGAGGCCTATATTCGTCGTGGGGCCGGACGCTACGGACGCGTTGCCTGGGGCGGGCTTCCAGGTCCTTGGTTCATCCCACTTTCTTCCTCCACGACTCCAGCATGCCTCCTCAATGTGAGCTGTGGCTCTCGAGTCCGCGGATGCTCTGAAGGTGCGTCAGCCACTGTTTTGAACCATAGTCTACTGCGCCCGCTACGCTGTGAAGCTCGACATGCTGCGATTGTGATTACGTCGCAGTGAAGTAGATGAGAAGGGGGAGAAGGAGGAGGAGGAGGAGGAGGAGGTGGAGGAGGAGGGGGAGGGGGGAGGGGGAGGGGGAGGAGGAGGAGGAGGAGGGGGGGAGGAGGAGGAGAGGAGGAGGAGGAGGAGGAGGAGGAGGGGAGGAGGGGGAGGGGGACGGGGAGGGGGAGTGTTGAGTGGGGCGCGGGGCGATGCAGCCGCGCCCCCCCGCCTGGCAGGTTGGACGGCCCGGGCGTCAAGAAGCCACTGTGGGGGGCCTGGAAGTTGGCACCAACACCAACACAGGGGGGTGCCTCCACAGGGGGAAGATGATCCTAGATTTCGGTGTTGGTGGCAATAGTTCGGTCACCTTGGAAGCCAGAATATTACCACCATCGCCGCGATCGGGATCGTCTTCCCTCGGTGGAGGCACACCGCCGATCTTGGTGTTGGTGTCAACCTCCAGGCCTGCCACACTGGGGTGACGTCAAGGATGTCGCACGTTGCCACAGCATGTCTCGCACATCCCAGGTCGTGAGAGAGCGCTTTGGCACTCGGCCCCGAGGACCCGCGGATGTGCGTCGACTTCTCCAACCCCGGGCGAGCCGCCCCCACGCCTCTCTGCAAATGCTGCGCGGTGTGGGCACGCGTCGGCCCCGCCCGTCGACGCACAGCCGCCAGAGCCGGCCAGCGCAGCCGCGTCGCAGCCGGCTCTCTGGGGGACGGTCGGGATTGCGAGTGGTTTGCCCAGGAGTGCAGCATCTTCTGGGCCGCCCATGCGAATTCAGTGGCCAGGGCTGATTGGAGAGGCCCGACGGCCGGTGCCGCCGACCCTGATCGAAAGGGCTAGGAGCGGGGGGAGGAAGCGGAGGAGGAGGAGGAGGAGGAGGAGGAGGAGGAGGAGCAGGAGGAGGAGGAGGAGGAGCAGGGCTGATTTTTCTCCATGGACAAAGACGCGGCGCTGAGGAACAAGTCGCGCATCACGGAGCGCGAGGCTGCGGCCTCACTGGCTCTATAACATACACACGTGTGCACATGAGTTCTTGATGCCTCACGCATCCCCCCACCAGTTGCTAATTTTCTGCTGCTGGCACACGCTCAGCGGCTTTTGTTGGTCGCGTGGTGGCGCCCGGGCTTCAGCTGGCGCCTTCGCGGTTGCCTCCTCGGCCGGCACCTGTCCTGCGCCGTTAATTATTTGCTTTCCCGTGCGCTGTGCCCCAGCCTCGTTCACACCGCCCTCTGGACTTTTCCTTGCAGGCCGCGAATCAAAAAAACATCCCCCCACCAGTCCATCCAGAGGCAAATCGCCAGGCGAGTTGCCTTGATCAGGGAAGTGTAGAAGCCTGCAGTGCAACAGCCGCCCTGGACATGGGTGTCCTCAGAGGTCTCTCAGAGCCATCTTGAGTCTATCTTGGGGTCCTCCCGGAGCCACTTGGGACACTCTTGGGGCCCTCTTGGGGCCCTTTTGACGTGTCGAGGGCCCTCTCGGAGCTCTTTGGGGGGGTCTGCCGACCCGGAGCACTGACCCGAATCGCGCACTCGGCAACGAAAGAGTTGGCTTAGGAATCGGGGTTCCCGTGTCTCTGGTCGCGGTCTCTTTTGCGCGCTAGACGCGGGGCTCCAAAAGATGTAGAAGTCGAGCGCGCGCGATGGTTGCAGCCAGGAGGGCAATTTCACCGATCCAGACCCAGAGGCGGTGGATTTCTGTCTTCGCTTGGATACCCCGACCACGGAGCACCCCGATCGCTGCGGTTCGCGGCTGCGGGGGAAAGGAGTTGGTGCCCTCTTCCACCCGCCTGATTTTTTGGGAGAGCACGTCGGAGATTCAGAGCACCGTACACGAGAACGACCATGCACACCTTGTGCGTGTGTGCACCTCGTGCGCCTCGCACTTCGGGGGGCACGTTTGCCCATGGCCCGCCCTTCCCACTGCCGTTTGCCGCGTCCCGCCGTGCGCCCCCACTCCCGCCGCTCCTCTCGCTGGTCGCAGCCTCGCCCTCCCCCCCCCTCTCAGGCGCTTCTCGAGCGGGGAGCGCACCCGATGGGACAGGGCCATGCAGGCGCCGAGGCCACCCGCAGGCGCGGGGGAGGGGCAGCAGCGCGGCGGCGAGATAAAAGGAGCAGCGGCGGCAGCAGGAGGGGGAGGAGCAGGAGGCAGGGTAGGGTCGGGAGCAGGAGCACGAGGAACAGGGGGAGGAGCAGGAGGAGGTTGACGACCAGCAAGAAGAATCCGACTCTGCCTCGCTCTATTCATCAAAGAGCGATGGCAGGCGGCCGCGCATTCGCACGAGCGAGGCCCCGCCTCTACCCCCTGCTTCCGCTGCTGCTGCTGCTGCTGCTGCTGCTGCCTTCCTTTGCGCCACATTGCTAGCGGGCTGCCTTCTGGAGGCACCAAATGGACTCAGGGGGGCCGAAAAGAATGCTCTTCCCCTTCTCAGTCCGTGGATGCTGCCCCTTCAACTTCCGGTTCCAGCGATGCTGCTGGACATGTGACGAGAAAACCCCATGACAACTCCTAGCCAAGCAACGTAAATCTCTCGAAGCTTGGGCCCCGCACCTCGCACATCCGAGGTAGAAGGCCTTCTCATCAGCTAAGAAAGGCAACATTCAGAGTTTGTGCCCCCTACACTTTAGGCGATGCTTAAGACAGCCAAAGTTTTCGGCCAGAGTCTCGATTATTCTTAATGTTTCAATGTAAATCCCAAGATTTGAATTGACATTCTGGGTTGTTATTCAAATTTTGAGACTATGAATGTCTGAACCCATGATTTCTAAAGCATTTCGCAGGGTGTAGGCTCTTGAACTAAACATGACAGTGGACTGCTGTGGCCTGGGCAGGCCTGCCTGCCCTTGCGAAGCCTTGGCGCTGCCCTTGCACGCCCGCGCCAGGCAACGGGCACAAACACCCACTTAGCCTGCCTCCAAACCCAGGCGTGGGCTAGAAGCTCCTGTCCCTCTCCCTCCCGGGGGGGAAAGAGAGAGAGAGAGAGAGAGAGACGACGACGACGACGACGACGACGACGACGACGACGACGACGACGACGACGACGACGACGGCCACGAAGCTCCGACGGAGGATCGGGAGGGAGAGAAGGAGGTTTTGGAGATGGGGGCGGCTGCCGAGAGAATGGCGGCCTCCTCCTCGACAGCACCCGAAAAAAAACGCAAGTTCTGTTTTTTTTGTCTGTTTGTCTCGTTTGTTTTTCGGTGGTTTGTCGGGGGGGGAACCCCCCGAAAAAAAAAAACTAGTTGTTTTGTTTCTAGCGTTTTTCTTGAATTTTCCTGGCGGGGGACCCCCCCGAAAAAACACCTCGGAAGTGTTTCGGTTTTTGTCGGGGGTTCTGGGGGCCCACGCTTAACACAAGACCACTTCAAAACATTCCCCTGGAAGCGACAAAAAAAACTCTGGCGTTTATCTGTGGTTTGTCGATTATTTTATCTGGCGTTTTTGTTGCATGTGTGTTTCCGGATATTTGTCGGCGGCTTTCTCGGGGGAAACCTCCGAAACACCCCTCAACTCGCGAGGTGTTCAGTTGTTTTTCAGGGGTTCTGGGCCACCACAATAAACGTGAGACTAGTTCAAAAAACCTCCCGGGAACCCCACGGAAAAAATAATAGAAAGTAAAAGACTCGGCGTTCTTTCGGTTTTTTTTTGCTGGTTTTCCCGGGGGGGGACACGCCCGAAAAACCCTCCTTATCGTTTTTCTTCCGGTTGGTTTTTCTGAGGTTTCCCGGGATAGAGGGGGGGAAAGAACCCTTGGGAGCCTCGGGGGCCATCTTGGGGCCATTTGGGGGCCATCTTGGAGGAGATCGATCAAAGGAGGACGGCTCTTTGATTAGGTCCCCCCTCCAAGAGGCCAAAACGTGGCCAAGACCTCAGTAAGATCAGTGGTGTTGGCATTCTCGTCGAGGCCTCTTGGGGGCCTCTTGGGGGCCTCTTGGTGACCTCTTGGGGGCCTCTTGGGGCCTCCTGGGCACCTCTTGGGGCTCTCTTGGGGCGCTCTTAGGCGCCATCTTGGGGCCATCTTCGAGGAGGTCGATCAAAGGAGGGTGGTTCATTAAGTAGGTTCGCCCCCAGGAGGCCAAAATGTTGCCAAAACTTTTTTTTGGCAAATCAATGATGTTGGCTTCCTCGCCGAGGCCGTTCTGGACGCCCCAACGACCCGCGACCCCCCCCTCCAAACTCACGGCGAGGGGAGAGGGGGAGGGGTGAACCCTTCCCCGAGAGGGAAGACCGGGGGTGGGACGAGGAAAATCCCTAAACCGCTCACGCCCTGAAGGGCTGCTGGGACTACAGTCGGGGCCCTGAAGGAGCCCTTTTCGTTGGGGAGGGGCTCCGCGTTCCTGAAGTGTTTCGCAGCTTGCCTCGGGTGTTCCTCATGTCTTCGATCGGAAAACGGAGTTCAACTGATGGAGAAAAAGGGGCCTCGTTCCTTATTTATTTATCGCTCCTTGGGTCAACTCCCCGACTGGAGCGTGGAGCTGGAGCTGCTGTGCCATCCGCCAGCCTCCTCCTCCTCCTCCTCCTCCTCCTCCTCCTCCTCCTCCTCCTCCTCCTCCTCCTCCTCCTCCGCCTCCTCCTCCTCCTCCTCCTCCTCCTCCTCCTCCTCCTCCTCCTCCTCCTGCTCCTCCTCCTGCTCCTCCGTCTTTTCTCCGAACCACCCCCTCGTGGGAGGAGGGGAAGGAGGAGGGGAAGGAGGAGGAAGGCCAGTGCAAGCCCCAGAGTCATCAACGATGTTGGAATTAACCCTCCCTCCAAGCTCCCTCTTGAGAAGGGCAGAGATCATGAGGCACAGGCCCGGACACCAGCATCAGCAGCATCAGCCTGTGGCGGACACTGGTTCCGGGATTCGGCCGTCCTCCTGCAGCCCCTTGCAATCGGAGCGCGGCAAGCGCGCCAGGTGCACCGAGCGCTCCAGCTCCAGGCCGGGCCCCCTCTGATGCCCACATCCTCTTCCCGCTCTCTGAAGTGCCCCCTCTCACCACTCACTGCTTCCCAGGCTCCTCCTGGTCTCTCTACCATGCCAGTGGATAGGCACGCGATCGTTGGAGCCGATGTGGGCGCCGGCGACGCTTGGCGGGCGCAGGGTGGGAGGAGAGCGGGAGAGAAGCGGCGCGGGGCATCATCGGGCCGCTTGTCAGGCGAAGCGTCATTCACCTCCGGCGATCGCCGGACTGGCCACGGCGCAGGGCGATGTCCGTGCCGTGCGCGGGGCCACCAGGCCCGTCGTCGAGTGTGCAGGACACTCCGAGGGGAGCCCAGACCTCAAGCAGCCGTCAGTCGGCCCGAGCTCGGCGTCCGCTGTCACTCATGAGGAACAGGCCAGCTCCGTCGAGGAAGAGTCAGGAGGGAAAGAAACACACAGACACAATTAATCGTCGCGTGCCAGGAAAATATTGGGAAAATGTGGGAAGTGGGGGGGAAGACAGACACCCAGAAAATATGGGAAAATATGGGGAATCTTTTTTATTAGTGTGTATTTATCTGTGTGTCGTGGGGCCCCTTCAATGAGGAGCAGGCCAGGTCCGTCGAGGAAGAGAGCCAAGGGTCACCATGAGCTCGCCCCCGTCCGAGTGCGTACCGCGCGCGCGAGCCTGGGCGACGTGCCCGTCATCAGTCGGCGCGGTCGCGGGTTGTCAGCAGCAAAGCCCGTGCGCCGCGATTCGTCTGCGCAGCGGTACAGTCGGGGCCCTGAAGAAGGAACCCTTTTTGCTGGGGAGGGGCTCCGTGTTCCTTAGTTGCTTTACAGTGCTCCTGGGGTTTTCCTTAGGTTTTCCATGGAAAATCGGAGTTTACTATATGGGAAAAGGGGCCTCGTTCCTTATTTATCGTTCCTTGGGTCAACGCCCCGACTGTAGTTACAGTGGCGCCAGGCTCTTGCATGGAACGCCAGTTCTGACGACTTTGCGGCTCGCAAGCATAGGGGTGACAGCTTGGTGAAGACGAATCTGGACGGGAGGTGCTCGCGAAGATTGCGACACGCTTCCGCCAAGCGGGACAGTGTTGGGCACCACGGCGAGCGCGTGAATGCATTTTCCCAAAAGCCCGTCCATTTGAAAAAATTGTTTGAAGAGGACCGCGGTGCCAGAATGTAGAAGTTGCAGGAGAATACGGCCCGAATGAATAATGATGACGGTGCCTCACCATCGATACGCTTCGGTGGTTCCCGCCGCACGCATGGGCTCGGCAACATCATTGTGCCGAGTTGATACTGCAGCACAATATGCGGGACGCTCCAAAGACGATGCATGCGAGCTGCTCTTTCGATGCGCATTACGCATGTGTCTACTCCAGATTTCGTAATAAAAGGGAGGGGGTCTCAACCCTCCCAGACGAGAAGTTTTAGACCCCCCCCCTGGGAGAACCCTCCAAAACATCGTCCCCAGACCCCCCCAGGCCCTCCAAGAGAGCCTGGAAGAGACCCCCCCCGAAATGAGACCCCCCTCCCTTTCTTACGAAATCTGGAGTGCATGTGCATATAAACCACAGATGCACGATTCGGCGGGGTAAGCAAACACGCATGAACGTTGAGAGCAGCATTGCCGTGCAGCACGGAGACGTGTCCAGTGACTTCGTTCCGTTCCACACACGCGCTTGTCGCCCGGAGGGGAGATCTACTCTCAGGAGGAAAAGAAACACACAGACACAATGAATCGTCCACTCCCAGGAGAATATGGGAAAAGATGGGAAGTGGGGGGGAGACACAAGCCCAGAAAATATAGGAAAATGTGGGAATCGTTTTATTTGTGTGTATTTATTTGTGTGTCCTGGGGGCCCTTCATATTCAGGGGCTGGAGCGAGTTATGTTGTAGGGGCGAAGCTGGACGGCTGATCCCACATCATGCCCCTGCGGAGGCGCAGTGCCTCTTATTGGGGCCCCTGTCCTCGACCGTCCTGGATCCAATCGTCAGAAGCTTGCGGGACACTGGAAATCACGACGCGCGCGGTGCACATGCCTCAGCTCAGCGTGCTTCGAGCAGTCTGCTTTGAGCGATGCCGGTGACCTTCCGTGCTGTTGTTACTCTGTCAGGCCGGCGGCCCCACTCCGCGGAGCTCTCCGGCGGCCAGATCGCAGGCCCCTGGGAGACCACGCGCGGCCCCGGTCGTCAGAGGAGCAGGAGGTCACGAATTATTCAGGAGGGAAAGAAACACACAGACAAAATTAATCGTCGATTTCCCAGAAAATATGGGAAAATATGGGAAGGGGGGGGAAGACAATTATCCTGGCGAAGGACCCAACCATATGCAATTGTGAATACTGCAATTGTGAATATCTTCTCGGTGGAGCCCCCTACGGGGCCACGAAACGTACGAGGGGTGTGCCGAAATGGGTGTGCGGGACGCATGCGGGCACACCCACTGGGGCCTTCGGTGGAGCTCCCTATGGGGCCACGGAACGCGTGAGGGGCGTGCCGAAATGGGTGTGGCTGACGCATGCGGGCGCGGGCACTGGGGCCTTCGGTGGAGCTCCCTATGGGGCCACGAAACGTGTGAGGGGTGTGCCGAAATGGGTGTGGCTGACGCATGCGGGCGCGGGCACTGGGGCCCTTCGCCCTATGGAGCGAAACGTGTGAGGGGTGTGGGTGTGCGCATGACTGGGGCCTTCGGTGGAGCTCCCTATGGCCACGAAACGTGTGAGGGGTGTGCCGACGCATGCGGGCGGGCACTGGGGCAGCTCCCTATGGGGCCACGAAACGTGTGAGGGGTGTGCCGAAATGGGTGTGGGTGACGCATGTGGGCGCGGGCACTGGGGCCTTCGGTGGAGCTCCCTATGGAGCCACGAAACGTGTGAGGGGTGTGCCGAAATGGGTGTGGCTGACGCATGCGGGCGGCAGCACTGGGGCCTTCGGTGGAGCTCCTATGGGGCCACGAAACGTGTGAGGGGTGTGCCGAATTGGGTGTGGTGACGCATGCGGGCGGCAGCACTGGGGCCTTCGGTGGAGCTCCCTATGGGGCCACGAAACGTGTGAGGGGTGTGCCGAATTGGGTGTGGGTGACGCATGCGGGCGGCAGCACTGGGGCCTTCGGTGGAGTTCCCTATGGAGCCACGAAACGTGTGAGGGGTGTGCCGAAATGGGTGTGGGTGACGCATGCGGGCGCGGGCACTGGGGCCTTCGGTGGAGCTCCCTATGGAGCCACGAAACGTGTGAGGGGTGTGCCGAAATGGGTGTGGCTGACGCATGCGGGCGCGGGCACTGGGGCCTTCGGTGGAGCTCCCTATGGAGCCACGAAACGTGTGAGGGGTGTGCCGAAATGGGTGTGGGTGACGCATGCGGGCGCGGGCACTGGGGCCTTCGGTGGAGCTCCCTATGGAGCCACGAAACGGTGTACTGGGTGGGTGAAGAGGAGAGGAGGAGAGGAGGGGAGGAGGGGAGGAGAGGAGAGGAGAGGAGAGGAGAGGAGAGGAGAGGAACGCGGGGCACCGTCTCTTCAAAACGAGGACCCAACACCACAGGATGGTTGGGAAAAACTCAGAACATATAGGAAAATATGGGGAACGTTTTTATTTGTGTGTATTTATTTGTGTGTCCCAGGGCCCCTTCAATTATGCGTTCCAACATTCCCGTAGCCTTTTGGCTCGTAGCACCTCGCGTCAAGCACGCTGGGTGGCTCTTATGATCTTTCGCACTTTCTGATCATTTGGCGCTTGTGAAGTACGAGAGATGCGAGGGAGAATCGGTCTGAGCAAGAACGGGCTGGTCGCCCTCATCTTCAGCGCCGCGTACTCCACTCTGATCCCAGGCCTGATGCTTGCAGCGGTATACGTGGAGTCCAACGGAGCCTCCCAGCTGACCCAGAGCATCGTGCGGCCGATCTACAGCCTCCTCGAGAAGGGGATGTACCCTCCAGGGATATTGATGTTTTTCTTCTCCATGGTTCTGCCCCTTGCCAAGCTCTGCGTCCTCATCTGGGTCGCCCGTGCTGGAACTATGGACCAGAGACTGCACCGGGTGCTGAGACGCATCTCCAAGTTCCAATGCGTGGACATCTACGTGTTGTGGGTGACTCCCACCCTCTCCTCCAAGCTGTTGTCGGTCACGCCAGCTGCTGGAGGTGTCTGCTACGGTGCCATTGCGCTGCTCTCCCTCCTCGGCACCCAGCTGGCCTCCGAGGAGGTGGAGGCGCCGCCCCTGGCCGGCGGTCGCCTGCAGCTCGCCTGGGCGGCCATGTCCGTTGCAGGATCGCGGCTGGCTTCTCGTGCGTGTGCCTCAGGCCCATCTGCTTTATCAAGGTGCGCCGGGGGTCCATCATCGCAGACAGGGCGTCGCCGAGCCTGCTCGGCGTGCTGGGGTCGGCCTGGAGGGCCTCTGCGCCGGTCGGGCTGATCCTGACCCTGCTGGTGTTCGTCCTGCCGATCGTGCAGGCGCTGCTCGCCCTGTGGGCGCGCCTCCACAGGGGGCGGCCGCGCGGCCCCCGCTGCCGCGGCCCTGTGGGAGTGGGCCATGCTCGCCGTATGCGCCCTGGCGATCTGCGCGGCGGCCCTTTCCCTCGGCTCGTGGGACAAGCTGGACACCCAGGCCCCCAATGGCCTCTTCGCGCTGCTGGCCGCCGGTGGCCTCTTCTTCCACGTCGGCTACCGCGCTGCGTTCCCAGGCGCGGCCCCGAGCGCGTACGCCGGGCTTCAGGAGACCGTGGAGGGCGCCGTCATCGGCCGCTGCTCCCACTTGGACTCGCCCGCGCAGGGCGCCTCCGACGGCGACGACGCGCCAGGCGCGGGCGCGGACGGCGGCGAGCGCTCGCCTGGCGCGGGCGCCGACGACGACGGCGAGGGCGCGCGCCCGACGCGGGCGGGGGCGCCCAGGGGCCTGGCGGCGGCGGGGCGTCTGTCGAGGGCGCCTGGGTGCCCGGGCCCGAGTGGCGCAGCGGCGTGCCGCCGATGCTGGTGCTGGGGGGCGCGTCCCTGCTGCCGCCGCAGCTCGACGCAGCGCCCCTGGAGCTCGCGGCGCTGGCGCGGAGCCTGCAGGCGCAGCTGCCAGAGGTCCAGGCCCCTCGTGCAGCGCTCGCTGCCTGCGGCGGTGGGCGACCGCGGCGCGGCCCGCTCCTGGGGCGTGGGCGAGCCCTGCCAGGAGGAGCAGCCTCGCAACCTCTGCGTGGCCGGGCGGCCCTTGCTCGTCTCGTGGGTGAGCGACCCGAGGTCGGTCCGGCTGGCCACGGTGGACGTGCAGCACCAGGCCGCCGTCGCGGCGGCGCCGCCAGGCGCTGCCTCTGGACCGCCTGGAGGCGTTGGGGTGGACCTCGTCGCCACGGGCGGCAGCGGAGCTCTCAGCGTCAGCGTGCAGGTCGGGGACGAGGTGTTTCTCTGGGGCTGGTGGGATATCGACTGGCTGGTGCGGATTGCGGCCGACTGCCACGAGAGCGCGCCCCTCCTCCGCGACCTGGGTGCGTCCGTGAACATGTCCCGTATGCCCACTCTGCTGCAGGCGGGGGTGCTGAATCGTGGGCTGTCGCAGCATCTGACGTCGCTGCAGAGCTTGATGGAGCCGTCGCTATCCCAGGGGTGCGGCAATTGTCTGAAGGCCCCTCGCCAGCTGAATTGCGTGGAGAGCGGCTGGCTGTACAAAGGAAGACCGATGCCTACAGTCAAGATGGAGGTGCCCTACATGGTTGGTATCAAGACCATGCGCATCTCAAACGCAAGGATAGAGCCGCCCCATCTTTTCTTGGACCTTGCGGGATATTGGGAATAGATTGCCCTCAATGTCACGTACCGCTCTTTCCAGTTTCCTCAGTCGTGGAACGACCTCCCATGGCGGCTCAGTATTTCTAGTGATTCTTCGGGAGACCGCTGGCGGTCCTGCGCCGACGACCTCGTCGTAGTAGACACACAGTGTCACACGCACGTGCACCTGCAGTGTGAGCGCGCTCCGGAAGGGGGCCGACGATAGCGCCTGTGGCCGCCTCGTTGGGCAGGATAGGAGGAGGAGGAGGAGGAGGAGGAGGAGGAGGAGGAGGAGGAGGAGGAGGGGGAGGGGGAGGGCCAGGGGGAGGGGGGGGCGGCGGGAGGAGGCCCGCCAGCGGCCGGGCCCCGAAGCGCGGCCGAGCCACGCCCGGGGGCCAGCGAGGAGCGCCAGGCCGCGCGCGCGGCGTTGCGACAGGCCGCGCGCGCGCCGCCGGCGCCGCGGGCGCGGCGGGGCGGCGAGGAGCGCCAGGCCGCCGCGCGAGGGGCGGGGCGGCGAGGAGCGCCAGGCCGCACGCGCGGCAGGGCGGAGGATGCCGTTCACTGCACGTCTGCCCCCAGGGCTCTGGGGCAGACATTGGCTGGGAGGAGGAGGAGGAGGAGGAGGAGGAGGAGGAGGAGGAGGAGGAGGAGGACGAGGAGGAGGAGGAGGACGAGGAGGAGGCGGAAAACGAAGCTGTGCAGCGTATGTTCCTGTAGTCCGGCAGGCGGAGAAAGCGCTGCAGATGAAAGACGCCGCTCGAAAACGGGCAAGATCTGGGCAGGACCGAGACTATGCGAAAGCCGTGATCACTTCGACGCGAACGTGTTTGGCTCCCCATGTTGTTAGATTGTGAAGAAGAGGCACAAGGTCACGATAGCACTCGTTCGAGTCATGTTTAGCGCCGTTCGATTCCACAGAGCATTGCTTTTGCACGACACAGACGACATGATTGAGCCCTTGCTTAGCGAGTTTTGCCCCAACTTGGAAGCAAGCGGGAAGCCACGCCGAGGGCCGCGGGCGCTACTTGCCTACCCGCGCTTCTTTGGCTTGGACCAAACCTCCGCTGCCGCGGAGGCCTTCAGCAGCGGCGGCCGCTGCAGAACCCGGGAGTTGCCGTGGGTCCATCATCGCGGCCCAGTTCTGTCAGCAGTTACAGGAGGGGCGAGGGAGGGATGCTTGTAGCTTGCAGCGTGCACAGATGCACCGTTTTGGCAGCAACAGGGGCAAGGCTTGATGCAGCATGCATAGGTGGACAGGAGCAATGTGATAGCTATCGAGGGTTAGGGAGTGAGATCGAAGCGACACAGAGTCCCCAACCTGGAAAACGATTTCGGTTTCGGTTCGTGTCGTGCGCGACGCGCGTGCGGGCGAGGCGAAGTTGCGCGAGTCCCTGCACGGGCTAGGCCCAGGTCAGATCAAAATGTGTCGGGCCCCCGTGCGCCAGTGCGTGCCTGGGGGTGTCCCGCGGTTGTACCGTGGTTTTCCCTGGTTGTCCCGTTGTTGTCCCGTGATTGTGCCGCGGTTGTTCCATGGTTGTCCTGCGGTGTTCTTGTGGTTGTCTCGTGATTGTCCCGTGGTCGTCGCTCTATTGTCCAGCGGCAGTTCCTTCTTGTCCCGTGATTGTTCCGTGATTGTCTTGGGGATGGCCCATGCACGTCCCGTCTACAGGTATGCATTAAGTAGTTGTATTTACATTCATATATACACATACATAGCCATACATGCATATACAGATACATTCACATACACATGCACATAAACGTTTATATCTACATATACATATACAAATACATATACTGAAGGGCTTCGCCCTCTGCCGCCGGCCCCCCGCGGGTAGCGTCGCGGGAAGGTGTCGGGAGGAGGCCTAGGAGGAGGAGGAAGAGAAGGAAGAGGCGGAGGAGGAGGAGGACCAGTGGAAACCCAAGAGATATCAACGATGTTGGAGTAAACCCTCCCTCCAAGCTCCCTCTTCATAGACCCCTACAACTGTTCATTTCTACTGAGGGAACTGCCCCGTTGGAAGACAACCGTTTGAAGACCCTGAAGCATGCCAAAACAATGTTCTCGGGATTCCAACGCCACGGATCAGCCTGACTGTTGCGTCTTGACGATCTTGAAGTGTGCCAGAAACCATTCTGGAGACTCTAACGCAGCGAATCAACGTAATTGTTGCACCATCATAATCCTGAGTCCATCCAAAAGTACAAGTGTTGGTACGCTGATCATGGAAACCACCCGCCCTCAATCCGTGATTTGTTTGCAAACGTTTCAAAACGAATGTGCGGCGCGAGCCACATTTTGAAAACAGCCCGCCCTCAGTCCGTGAAAATATTGCATTTGTTTGTTGTTTTGTTGTTGCTGTTTTTTTTAATGCGCGCGGCGATAAGGCGAGAGACACAGTTTGAAACCCACCCACCCTCATTCCGTGAAGCTCTTGCACATGTTTTAATACGAATGTGCGCGGCGTTGAGGCGGAAGCCACATTTTGAAAACGACCCGCCGTCAATCCGTTAAAGAAGGTGCGCGGCGCTGAGGCGAGAGCCACACTTTGAAAACCACCGGCCCTCAATCCTTGAAGCTCTTGCAAGTAGTTAAAAGGAATGTGCGGCGCTAAGGCGAGAGACACATTTTGAAAACCACCCGCCTACAATCCGTGAAACTCTTGCAAGTGCTTAAAAACGAAGGTGCGCGGCGCTGAGGTGGAAGCCACATTTTGAAAACGACCCGCCCTCAATACATGAAGCTCTTGTAAGTGTTTAAAAAAGGTGCGCGGCGCTAAGGCGAGAGCCACATTTTGAAAGCGACCCACCCTGAATCCGTGAAGCTGTTGTCACGTTTAAAGCTTCAGGGTCGTAAATGGTTGAGAATTCTGAGGCGAAGCGCCTGGCCCCCCCTAAAAGCTGGCCTCGGGGTGCGACATGGAGAAGTTATTTACAAAGGAGAAGGAGAGGAGAAGGAGGAGGAGGAGGAGGAGGAGGAGGGCGTGGAGGAGGAGGAGGAAGAGGAGGAGAAGGAGGGGGAGGAGGAGGAGGAGGGAGGAGGAGGAGGAGGAGGAGGAGGGAGGAGGAGGAGGAGGAGGGAGGAGGGAGGAGGAGGAGGAGGAGGAGGAGAGGAGGAGGAGAAGGAGGAGGAGGAGGAGAATGAGGAGAAGGGGAGGAGGAGGAGGAGGAGGTGGAGGAGGAGGAGGAGAAGGAGGAGGAGGAGAAGGAGGAGAAGTGGGAGGAGGAGGAGGAGGAGGAGGAGGAGAAGAAGGAGGAGGAGGAGGAGGATGGGAAGGGGGAGCGGGAGGAGGAGGAGGAATTGCAGGAGGGGGTGGAGGAGTCGGAGGCCCCCCCTACCACTAGTGCGTGCCGCTGCGCGTGGATAGCCCCGTGGGTGCTTCTCGTGGCAGGCTTCTCGGCAGCGTCTGCGGGTCATTGTTGGAGTTTATTGGAAGCCGTTTTGGAGCTTTTTGGGGCATATGTTGGGTCTCTCGGGGGTCTCTTTGGTGCCTCTTGGAGGCCTCTTGGGGGCCTCTTGGGGCCTCTTGGGACCACCTTGGGGCCTCCTGGGGCCCTCTCGGGTGGACTCCCTCTTGGGCCTCTCTTGGGACCGTCTTAGGGCCCTTCTGGGCTGTCTGGGGCGCCTCTTGGACCGTCTTGGGGCCCTCTTCGGCCGTCTTGGGGCCGTCTTGGGGGCCTCTTGGGCCGCCATGGGCGATCTTGGGAACCTCTTGGTCCGTCTCGGAGCGTAGGAAAGCCGACAAAGCGAGAAGGCCAAACACTTGTACAAAAAACGTTGGGAAAATCGTTCATCTGTGCTTCGTGGGGCCCTCTTCGGAGGGGCCTCTTGGGCCGTCTTGGGAGCCTCTTGGGCCGTCCTGGGGACATCGTGGGACATGTTGGGGCCATCTTGGCCAGTCTTGGGCTCCTGAGGCTTTCTTCGGAGCCTCTCCGGGCAATCTTGGAGGCCTCTCGGGCCGTTCTGGCCGCGCGGTGGTGCCACCACGAGAAACCTGGGGTGGCCCGGAGCAGCCAGGATTTGAGGTTCCCCCCCCCCGTTGGCTGGTTGATGGCGCGGCAGGGCCTCCTAGCAGACAGTAAACAGTTGGCAGGAATCAGGACTGGAGATTCAAAAGGTCTAACAACAAATGACAACACATAACACATGACAGCAGACCGCACACACCTTCGCAGCCTTGCGCCCCCAGAGGGGGCCGGCGGATACATATGCATATTCATATACATATACATGCACATATACAAAACAAAACAAAAAACATTTGCATATACATACATACATGTACCTACAAGTATTGCGAAGGCCTTACGGCCAGTGCCGCACACCCTGAAGGCGGATCTTACCCCAGAACCTCCGCTGGCGACACCCCAGGAGCCATTGGGACCCTAGGGGGGCGGTATTCAACCCCCCGCCTTGCCCCCCACATCACCTCCCCACCCGTCCCAGCCCCCCCCCCCCCCCCGAGCGGAGAGGGAAAGAACAGGAAAGGGCCTCCCCGTGGCTGAACTACAACGTTCTATATCCTTGATCCCAAATTTTCTTGGGACTGACGGCGACGACGACGACGACGACGACGACGACGACGACGACGACGACAACGGGCGTTTTTCACACGCCGAAGGGTCGGTGGAATTCGTTGGTCGGTAAAGAGAAGGAGAGAGAGAGAGAGAGAAAGAGTGAGATTGAGTGGTAGAGAGATCGATTGATTGTTTGGTGGTGGGTCCGATGGACGACCAAGTTCGATAGATGATGATCGCGAATACGATCCGCCACCAAACGCAAACGAAAGCTACACCCATCGCCCCCCCCCCTAACCTCCTTATCACCCGGAGGGTGGTCTTATAGTAAGGAGATCCAGCGCCCGAGTGAACACCAAGCAGGTAAATGCGAGCAGAAGGCCCTGAGTCGGAGATCGAAAGATAACACCTTCTTGGAGAAGTCGGTGGAGGGTGCTCCGGGCGGATTGAGGACTATTCAGGCGAAGGCGTTGCGCAATCAGGTGGAAGCAAAGGAGAGACCCCACGAGGGGCCAGTGTTCTAAGGATGGACGGCCAATCGGCTCGGATACCCAGGGAGGCCCCTATCCTACATGGTAGCCCTCCGGGGCAGCTTGGCTCCGAAAGTCGTAATCTTTGTGTGACTAGGCTGCTGTGTCTAGTCGTGGTTGCCCCGTGGCTGCTGGGGTTGCGCATACCTTGACTTGCCAGGGATTGAAGGGAGGCGGATACAGTATGCCCTCGGGTGGTACGAGCTCAGATGTAGGATGGATCGCCGTGCAGAAAGCGCTTGAAGATGCCTGGGGCCAGATCGGGCCTGTCTGGGTGTGCAGTCAAGGGTAATACCATTAGAGCTAGGGGAATATCCTCCCTTCTCTCCACTGTGCCCAAAAAAACTATAGTGTTAGGGTCGGACGGCGAGGGGGGCGAAGGATGGAGGGCGGGAGGAACGGCCGAGGTCGAGGCAGGGGGGCGCGCGGCGCTAAGTTGTCCAGCCCGCCGCGCTTCGACTCCCCAGGGGGGCGCGCCGAGCGAGAGCGCTGGGCTCATCATGCGCGGGTGCTTCCGCGAGGCTGCGCGTGGGGTCGCGCTGCAACTGCGCGGGAGGAGCTCAGCGCGGGAGCCGGGGAGGCCGACATCCGCCGCCTGACTGAAGGCGCACGCGCGCTCGCGCATGCGCGCGCTGGCGCGGCCGGCGAACACAGCCGGCCGCCGTGGGCAGGGCCCGAGTTGGGCTTGATAGCCTTGCTCCTCCTCCTTCCTCCTTCGTCGTTTCTCCTCCTCCTTCCGCCCCCTCCTCCACCTCCTCCTCTTTCCTCCTCCTCCTCCTCCTTTTCTCCTCCGCCTCCTCTTCCTCCTCCTCCTCGTCCCCTCTTCCTTCCTTCCGAAGACCACGAGACAGAGGGCCTCACAGACAGAAACATCACAATATCCACCATCATCATCGTCATCATCAGCTTCTTCATCATATTCGATTTTGCCCGCAGGCGATTTGGCTCTGGATTTCTAGCAGGGCACGACCGCTCAACCTGGTGAGAAGTGGCCCCGCGCAGAGCTGCCGAGGCAGGCAGTGGATTCTTGCAACAAGGGTGGCTAGTCGTGGCTGCCCGCACGGGTAGCCACTCGTGGCTGCAAGCTTGTTGTCGCAAGGATTGGGCCATCACAAGATTGACGAGCAGACCGACTAGAAACAGCCGTCAATTTCTTCGCCATTCCCACGCTCATTTCTTTCATATTCGACTTCATCGTGGACTTGCTCCAAATCGTGCCCAGTTACATTCTCCAGCTATGGTGTGTGCTTTCCTCCTCACAGGCGTGCGGAAAGATTGGTTGTACCGCTTTGTGAGCCGCGAGTGGGCATACTGTTTCTGGTGCGATTGGGTGTTCACTTTCTCTGCTGGTCGCTCGCATCCATACATACTTGTCTTTTGTCATACTATGCTGACGATAGTGGGGTGGCCCGCGGCCTGCGTTATCCAGCCCGTGGGTTGTTGGGATAACCACTCCCGTTCGTGCGTTCATTGCTTGACCATCTCGGACAATCGCTTGGGGAAGTTATCGCGTCTTGGACACGGGCTCGTATCGTTCAGAACGATGTCGCTGGGTTGTGTGAGGCGTTGCATTGTGTCATACAGTCGATTGTTCCTGATCATCTGCGTACAGGGCGTTATGGTGCTGTTGATCACGTAGTACGGGCAGTATTGTCCCAGGGGTCGGTTGTTACGCAACTGCATTGTCAGATGTCGTCAGAGTGGGTCCCGAAGTGTGCTCGCAAGGCTTCGTTTGCCATTCCAAGTGTAGTGGCGTTTAATGTCAAGAACGGCGCTACTGAATGGTTCCGTCATCAGCAACAACATGTTCAACAATAGATTGATCCTTGTGTTGCAGTGTATCTTTTGTTTGGTCATAGAGGTCTCTACATTGGCAGAGCGAATATATATATATATATATATATATATATATATATATATATATATATATCACCTGCTCGTGGTCGCCCTGGCCTGCCCAAGCGGCGCGCGGAACATTATAAGGTATTGTTTGGATTCCACTCGGGCCATGATCACGAGTTGTTTCGGTATTCGGTATTGCGTAAGTATATTGGAAGTGCTGGTGTTCTACATGTTGCGTGGTGCCCTCGTGAGGTAAAGGCGTCGACGACTGAGCGCGCGTTCGTCCAGATGTTTCGTTCCGGGTGCGATGGCGCAGACGACCGGCTTCTTCAGGACATCCATCATCAGCATGGGTTTCAGTTCCGACCTGAACGCGGTGAACGTCGTGTTCGTCCGTTCCTTCGTTTCCGTGCTCGGCCCAAGGCGCCAGCGCGGACGTCTACAATCGTCCGAAGCGCCTTGTGCAAGAGGCCATCCCGACCTGCTGCTGATCCAGCGCGGGCACGTGGAAGTATCAAGAACCTCTACTTGATCCACTTGCGGTGCATAGTGGGTTGGATTGGCGTCGACAGCCCGTTAAATCCGATGGGCCGCAGCCCCTTGCATCCCTAATGCGGTTGGCCCCATTGCGCTTTCGATCGTGCGGACATCATTGCCCCGTCTCCGTTGTTCTTGCTGCAGAAAGTTGAATGCATGTTTGAGTTGGCCACGTTCATCCAGATTCACATGGGCGGCTTCTCGTCGCAAGCTTCAACCGATTATGCGGGCGCCATGATATTCCTCCAACGCCCGCGCCCCCACGCTGCCAGATCGCGCGAGTTCCTTCGCCGCCTACACCTTGCACGCCGATGCTTCCAAATCGCATTGCAGGAGGTTCGGCGCGAGCCGACGAGCGCGCGGCGCTGTTATCACCTTCCTCAGTTCTTCTTACTAAAGCGTCGTCTTGGGCCGATAAGTTCAACGTCAAGCGAATAATTATTGGTCTTCGCCGCTCAGATGTCGAACGGATCCCGCGCGAGGTTCTTGGTCAGCATGCTCTTGCCCCGTACCTCTGCGCCGTTAAAAGTCTTTTGGTGTGATTTGCGTGACCGCTGGCCCCTCGCCTCCAGCAGCTACTTCAACGGTCGCAGGCCCAGTGGAATCAGCGTCGCCGTCTTCGCCCTCGCGCGCGGAGCCGCGCTCGCGGGGCCCCAGCCCCGCGCGATGAAGTTCGCGCCCCCCGCATTCCTTCGGGCCCTCAACGCAGGGCGGTTCTAGACAATGCGTCTGCTCAGGTCGCGCGCCAGCGTGGCGCCATTGCTTGGAATGATAAGGGCCCAACGAAAGCGCGGCTCATTCACCACGGCGCGATTGGCCCTGATCTCGTTTACAATTTGCTTCAGCCGCTTCCCTTCGGCGCGCCCATCCTTCGCGGCGGCCGCGCGACGCGCGCGCTCGGCGCGGAACTCGCGCCCATCTTTGCCTTCCCGGGTTATTGCTCCACCGGCGCGGCCGCCGGCGCGCTGCCCAACCGCCGACGACCTCACCGTTTCTCAAGCCGCAGTGGCCATCGGACTGGCGCGTGGAAGCGCGTTCGCCCCTGTCACCCGCGCGCGCAGAGGATGGCCGACGCGGCGCCCACTCCATACGCGCGACCGCGCGCTGTCGCTGGCCGCGCAGTTGAGATGTCATGTGCTGGGCATGATTTCGAACGTCAGTGACGCTGGCAAGGTTCTGAGGTGTGACCTGGCGGGCGCGTCGGATCTTCCAGCCGACGGGCGCCGCGCGCGCCGCGGCCCCCGCGCGCGCGCCCGCCTCCACGCGCCCACCTTCGACGTTGATGGGACCTGCGAGAATTGCCGCAGTGAATAACGCCGCGCCCGCCCAGATGCAGTTGGGGTTTCGTTTTAGCGTTGCGACAGGTGCTGGCGCAATCTCGATGGCGAAAGGTATCCAGTATAAGGCGCCTGCTGCCACGTCGGTCTGGAGTCGTGCTCGGCGGGCCCTTCCCTCTGGAGGTCTTGAGGCGGGCCCTGTTCGCGGGCCTGGCGCGCAGCTTCGCCGTCGCCGAGGATCCGCCGCTGAGAATCCGACCCTCGCCTGGAGCAGATCGCGGTTTTATTCGGGAGCAACGAACATGCCAGGGCTTTTTTTCATGTCATGGCGCAGGAGTGGACGGAGCAGAAGCCCGGGACCACAGAGCATATGAATAAGGATAGGGGCATCCCCAGGCACCCGCTGGACATGAAAGAGGCCACCTGGGCCCTTAGATCTTTCCTGGCTTTCTTGGAACCTACCCCTGCATAGCGCATGGAGAAGAATGCAGACGACATTTGGAAGAGCGCGTTGGCGGCCGTAAAGAATATGCGCACGACGGACAAGAAGTTGCCGAGGCTTTCGGTGGGGGAATTGTCATCCAGGCACAACTCGCCGAAGGAGGACGGGACCTGGAAGTGCGTCTCATGTTTCTCGGACTTTGTCCCGCATGCGTTCCTGGAAGCGGTAATGCGCCTTCTCTATCGGCAAGACCTTGCCAAAGCCATAGAGATCGAGCTTGCGCGCGGATTCCAAACCAACGACGAGCAGAAGTGGCGGGGAGCATTGGAATCCAAGCCTCGAGGTGGTGGCGCCGCCAAGGGCGGCCGCGACCACAAGCGAGGTTGCCGTCGGCGCCTGGCCTCAGGACGGAGGCGCCGTTAGCCAGCCTTGGGGCCAGAACGATGGCAGCCGCCAGGAGAGGGGCCGCGGGCCCCTGAGAGCCCACAGTTTTGTATTTGACAGTTTTGGTGGTCGCGCTTTTGTTCCTCACGACATTTGTCATGATGCAGTTTTGCATGGCTGTGGTCTCCACCTCGGTGCGCTGCCCAGCCTGCCAGTCTACGCCCGCAACAATGCTGACCAGTACCTTCAAGATGTCACGGGGGTCCTCGTTTTGTTGGGGTGGGGGCTGTGCCTGGCCTCGTCCTCACCTTCGACTACAAGGTGTACTTCAGGGAGGACCTCGAGAGATACCACATCCTCATCGCACAAGTTCTACGACAAGCCGCGACGGGGCCCAAGGGGCACGCGGCGAACCCCAGGAAATTTCGGAAGAAGGGGCCTGGGCCCCTCGACCCCTTAAGGAGTGAGGAGTGAGGCGCAGAGGCTTGGGCCCAGGACCTGAGGACACGCTCACTCCATGCCCAGCGGCACGGTGGCGGATATTGAAGGGAACGAGCTACACCCGAGTGGAGTATGCCGTCGGAGCTCTGGCTGATCCTGATCGACCCCGACCAGTGGCACAAGTTCAACCGTGGTGGAGTGGGTTCGTGCCCTACCCCTGCGACGGCACAGGCCTTCAGGGAAAGACTGCTCGACATCATCGGATCCTTTCGGCGGACGTCCTCCACTCCACTGGTCTTCGACATTTCTCACATTGTGGGCCTGGACAAGGGCAACGGCAAGCCAGGACCGCTCGGACGACGTTGGATACATCTCTTCTGCCCGATGGGCAAGGCGTGGAACGCCCATCTTTGGAATCGGGCTCGTCGCCACCGTGACTCACTTCCGTATTTTTGTCACGGCTTTGCTCGGCGCCGCCGGCGCGAAGACGCCATCGCGGTTCAGGCCTGCTTGAGTTGGAGGCTTCAGAAGTTATCGCTATCACACGCCATCATCAACGAAGACGCCACGAACGCTTTCGCCAGTACGACACGAGAGACGATCTTGAATTGCCTCGAGTCCCTCTACCTCCCCGAGGACGTTAGGTTCCAGCACTCTCGCACGATGCAGACGGCGATGCA